ATTAATTAAAATTGGAATTAATTTACTTCAAAATTGTCTCAGATTTCCCTATTACAAAGATAGATTTCCAGCATGGCAGAACAGCATTCGTCACAACCTAAGTCTCAATGATTGCTTCATTAAGATGCCTAGAGAACCAGGTATGAATGAATAAATGAATGAATGAATGATTGAATGAATGAATGAATAAGTGAATGAATGAATGAATGAATGATTAGTGGATAAACAAGTGAAAGCATGAGAGAATGAATGACATTCTCGCTTGGCAAAATAGCATTCGACACAATCTAAGTTTAAACGATTTCGTTATTGGGATGTCCAGAGAATCAGGTTTGAATGAATGAATGAATGAATAAATGAATGAATGAATGAATGAATGAACGATTAGTAGATAAACAAGTAAATGAATAAATGAATTAATGATGGAAGGAATGAACTTCTCACTTGGCAAAATAGCATTCGACACAATCCAAGTTTAAACGATTTCTTTATTAAGTTGTCCGAAGAACCAGGTTTGAATGAATGAATTTATGAATGAACAAACGAATGAATAAATGAATGAATAAATAGATAAATTACAGATTAATCAATCATTCAATCGATCGACCAATCAATCAATCGATCGATCGATCAATCACTCAATCAATCAATCAATCAATCAACCAATCAGGCAATCCAGGCAAGGGCAACTACTGGACTCTTGACCCAGCATCCGAGGACATGTTCGATAACGGCAGCTTTCTTCGGAGAAGGAAAAGGTGACAAGTTATTCTCCCTCTTTTTCTTTTTCCTTTTCATCTTCTTTCTCTTCTTCCTCTCTTTCTTTTTCTTCTTCTTCTTCATCTTCTTCTTCATCTTCATCTTCTTCTTCATCTTCTTCTTCTTCTTCTTCATCTTCTTCTTCTTCATCTTCATCTTCTTCTTCATCTTCTTCTTCTTCTTCTTCATCTTCATCTTCATCTTCTTCTTCTTCTTCTTCTTCTTCTTCATCTTCTTCATCATCTTCTTCTTCTTCTTCTTCTTCTTCATCTTCATCTTCTTCTTCATCTCT